GATGGTTGCCCACCTTTCTTGAAATTCTACATTGCATACTTCTTGAGAATGTTATCTATGTATGAAGCCTGAGAGAGAGCTATCATTTTGTTCTTTCGATCTCTTAAGATCCGAATGCCCAGAACATAATTAGCTTCTTCTAAGTCCTTCATGTCAAACTGTTTGGTAAGCCAAGCTTTGACTAATGACAAAGCACCTAAATCATTGCTGATGAGTAGAATGTCATCAACATATAATAATAGAAAAACTACTTTCCCATCTTGAATATGCTTATAAACGTAAGGTTCATCCAGATTCTGTTGGAATTCAAATGTCTTGACCACTTGGTCAAATATTTTATTCCAAGAACGGAAGGCTTGCTTTTATCCATAAATGGATTTTAGCAACTTGTAGACTTTCCCCTCTTGACTCTTAGCCCCAAAGCCTTCTGGTTGTACCATATAGATACTTTCCTTAAGATGGCCATTCAAGAATGCCGTCTTGACATCCATTTGCTAGATCTCACAGTCAAGAGCTGCCGCAATAGATAAGAGAATGCGGATGGACTTAAGCATGGCTACAAACAAAAATGTTTTCTTGTAGTTGATTCCCTCCTTCTACGTGTATCCCTTAGCTACCAGTCTAGCCTTATAGGTTTTGACCTTTCCTTCTGCATTTCTCTTTATCTTGTAGACACATTTACACCTAGTGGGCTTCATCCCATTAGGAAGATCTACAAGTTCCCTGACTGAATTAAAATCTATAGATTCCATCTCAGCTTTCATGGCTCCTGTCAAGAGGTTTGCATCAACATCCTCCATAGCTACTTTGTAAGTATAAGGATCTCTGTCATGTTCTAAAGATTCTGTCAAAATTGTCTCTCCATTAGCCATGAATTTCTCAGGTTTATGTCTGATCCTCCCACTACGCCGAAGCCCCTTAGGATGTTGTTGGGTTTTCTTTTCTACTCTGATTTGATCAGTTTCCAAAGGAACTGTCGGTATGACCAAGTCACTCGACATTTCTTCAAGCACCACTTTACTACAAGGCTTCAAGTCGTTCATGTAACTTTCCTCAAGGAATGTTGCATTCGTTGAAACCACGACTTTATTTTCATTGGGATTATAAAAATAACCCCTTTTCATCCCTCTTGGATAACCTACAAAAATGTACACTTCTGAACGTGCTTCTAACTTGTTCGCTTCCTTGTGCATAACATGTGCAGGACATCCCCATATGCGAATATGGTTCAAGGATGTCTTCTTGCCTGTCCACAACTCGTGAGGAGTTTTAGGAATTGACTTTGTTGACACATTGTTCAGAAGATAACATGCAATTTGTAAAACATATCCCCAGAAAGATAAAGGCAATGTTGAATAACTCATCATGGACCGTACCATGTCCAACAAGGTCATATTTCTTCTCTCAGCTACACCATTCTGCTGTGGAGTGCCAGGTGCAGTCAAATGGGATATAATCTCATTCTCTAATAAGTATCCAGTGAATTCATTAGAGAGGTATTCTTCACCTTGATCGAATTGAAGTCCCTTTATAGGTTTACCTAATTACTTTTCCACTTCAGCCCAAGACTCCCTGAATTTCTCAAAAGTTTCGCTTTTACGGTGCATCAGGTACACATAACCATATCTTGAGGAATTGTCGATAAAAGTGACGTAATACTCATACCCTCCTCTTGCCTTGATGTTCATGGGACCACAACCATGACTATTCACAAGTTCAAGAACCTCTTCAACCTTATTGCCCTTAGACCCAAAAGGTCTTTTGGTCATTTTACCCTCCAAACAAGACTCACATTGGGGTAAGGACCCAACCTTTAAAGACCTTAAAGGTCCGTCCTTTACCAACCTCTGTATCCTGTTAAGGCTAATGTAACCAAGTCACAAATGCCAAAGATATGTCTCATTAGAGTGAGAAGTTTTAAGTCTTTTAGAGTTATTAATAACTTCAGTGTTTAGCAGTGAGTCCATCGTAGGTTTGATAAAATTTAGATTATTTTACATCCATCCATCACAGATAAAAGACTTGTTTTTACGAATCACAACTTTATTATTAAAAGAAACTGAATAAGAATCCTTAAATAAACAAGCAATAGAAATAAGATTCCTCTTCAATTGAGGAACATAAAAACAGTCTCGCAAAAATAAACTCCTATAACTATCTAAATAAAGATGGACGTCTCCCACTGCTTCAGCCAACACTAGAGTTCCATCGCTCATTCTTAACGTGAAGCTTTCATTAAGAAGACTTCTCGTTCGCTTGAATCCCTACAGAGAAACATACACATAATTAGTTGCTCTAGAATCTATGAACCAATTGTCACTGGATTCCTCAACCAAACATGCTTCCACAATTAATGTTATGGGGTTCAAGAATTGTTTAATTCTCAAGAATGATTTTTTCTTTGGCTCTCTTGTGGTTGGAAGGTGTTCAAGTATACCAAGAAGAGATTAAACGACATGTGGCCACCTGCACTCCAATCGTGGAAGCGAGAATAGCAAAGAAGACCAGTTGGTTGAGGCTCTTCCGGTTGCTGTTTGGAACGCTTTGATCTATCAGAACTGTTGTTTCCTAAATCTCTAAAGGTATGATTTAGATCTTTAGTATTTATGTTATATGACATCATGAACATGTTCTTGATTGGCTTTGGTAGTGATTTAAATTTTTAAAATTCCACTGTGCACTCGATGTCGCATTTTCTAACACGTAGTAAGCAGCCACAAAATGCTTATAAATATATAAGTTTGTTTATTCATCACAGATATACTAAAGGGGAGGAGCTATCCACTGTTCATCCAGACTCATTACACTGTGCATAGTACAATGCAATGACGATTTTGCCCTCTTTCTCCGCTTGCTTCCGTTTCTGGGCAGGGGCTTTTTGGTCTTCTTACGTTGTGGGTTGTGTCACGACCCTAAGGATAGGGCTGTCATTATTGGGGTTTAATTTAAAATTTAACTTAATTAAACTGGATTGTTTAATAAAATCACAAAAATAAATACATAAATATCAATATAGTTTGCTCCGGAGACTTTCTTTCACAAATAATATTTAAAACAGTCCATAAAGTCCAAGAAAAATAGTACAACTCTGAGACAATGTCAACCAATACAGTTTACATAGAGAAATACAATACATCTCATAATTTAAAACTGTAAATCTGAAACAAACGTACTGGTTCGAATCTCACGCCTTCAATCCATTGGCATCCACTTGTCACGCTGTAAATCTAAACCGCTAACTCTGGAGGGGGGGGGGGGGTTTAAAACATTGAAAACATAGAAAAGTGAGCGGAAGGCCCAGTAGGACATAATCTTATAAAACATAATAAATAAGGTACTCACGGTCCGAAGGCATGCACTCGGAACCGATCATCCTTTTTTTTTTTGAAAAGGAAATACTCACATAGTAGTAGAAAATATATGTAATATGAAAGTGTGCAGATTATCATACCACTGAGCAAGAAGTGGTAAAATGTCTGTCTAGTGAAAAGTGCAGAGCCATAATTCCACTGAGCAAGAAGTGGATCTGTACGGGTTTCAGGACCTGCCCCCAAGGATATGATTCCCATATCCCGATCTCTGTGGCCACCATGCGTTGTATCATTCCTTAAAATATTTCATTTTAAGAAATGATACTCTTTAAAATCTCATTTCCAAAATCAATGGAAAACTTAATAGCATTATTCATGCTATTTCCTTTAAAATCATTTTCTTTCAACATGTTTTGTTCTAAAACATTTTCATTGGCCAAAATCATTTAAAGTGAGGCTAACAATGATATGGACAAGAATATCCTACCTCTCGGATGTCAAACCTGGGCTACCCTTCCATTCTTCTAGCCTCCGCTTTCCTTAAACCTTTAATACTTGACCTTTTCCACTAGCTTTATCACAAAAGGAATATCTTAGGAAGTATTTCTCATTCCTAAAAGGAATTAAGCTCAATCATGTTTAATTATTTCCTATTAGTGTGCATTGACTCAAATCTAAGTTTCACAAATGAGTTTATAATCAGTTTGAGGGTTCTTTAAGGATTGAAATCCAATCCATGGGTTTGGTTTCCTATTTAATTTCAGTTTAAAAATAAGTTTTTAAAGAAATTTCGGCAGCATGCTGGCATAAATAGGAAAAATGCCAAACCTGCAATTCAAGCTCAATTTCAAAATAGATTATCCATAATCCATCAAAACCAGTTTCCAATCAATTAAACATGTCCAATAACTGAAAACCCCCAAATTTCATTCAATTCTAACAACAATTTTTCAAATCCAAACCCTAACTCAAAATTATTCAAATCTAACAAAAACCAAACTTTCTCAAGCTTAAAATTTGAATCAAAGAGTGGGTTTCAAGGGGGTTTACCTCAAATTAGTTGATGGAGCTTTGTTTCCCTCGGTTTCTCTCGTTTTCATTTTTTTTTGTGTCTCTCTGCCAACTGCCAAGAGAGAGAGAAACTCAAAGAGAGCAAGGGAGAGAGAGAGACTGAAGAGAGAGGTGGCCAAAGAGAGGGAGGAAGTGGTGGCCGGTGGTGAAGGAAGAAAGAGAGAGAGGGAGTTGCCGTGGAAGAAGAAAGAAGAAAAGAAAAGAAAGAAAGAGAGAGAGAGAAGGCTGGTCTGGCAGCCATGGGAAGGGAAGGGAAAAAAGAAAAAAGAAAAGAAAGAAAAGAAAAGGAAAAGAAAGAAAAAAGGAAAGGAAAAGAAAATTAAGAGAAAATACATTAAAATTAAGTGTATTTTCAAAAAATTTTGGGGTGAAAATTGAAAAACTGAAAGTAATTTATAAGTCCTTAAAATAACTCAAAAACTTAATCTTTAATCACAAGATTAATTAACAAAACCAGTTTTAGGCACTCTAATATACACAATTAACATAATTAAATATGTTTAATTCTGGAAGGTGTTACAGCTCTTCCCCCCTTAAGGAATTTCATCCTCAAAATTTGAGCTTACCAGAGGATATGAACAGGTATGGATATCGTTCTTGCATCATTGCTTCCAGTTCTCACGTCGCTTCCTCCATGCCATGGTGTTGCCACAACACCTTCACTAGCGAAATCTCATGACAGCGTAAACTCTTCATCTTTCGATCGAGAATTTGAACTAGTGCTTCCTCGTAAGTCATGTCATACTGGATCAGCACATTGTACAATTGTACAATAACTTCTGAATCAGGTTTATGCTCATGAAGCATAGAAATATGGAACACATTGTGCATGTGAGATAACTCAGGTGGTAAGGCGAGTCGATAAGCAACGACACCGACTCGTTGCACGATTTGGAATAATCCAATGTATCTTGGCACAAGTTTCCCTTTCATACCAAAACGGGTGATTCCTTTGCACAATGAAACTGTTAATAAGACAAAGTCACCTTCTATCAGCATAGCTCTTCATTTAATCAAAATTGGATTATCTGATAGGATTCCTTCAACTTGGTCAGTCCTCTAATCTCATGCCTGGACTGATTTAACGTTCGTTACGGAAACATGTGCAAACCATATTACGTGTCACCAAAGGGTGGAAAACTAGTTTCGAATGAAAATAAACATCTTGGTCTTTCCAACGAGCTATCACATGCCCTATTTCAAATATTCTAAGCCTTTCAAACACATCTTACAAGAAATTGAAATTCTGAAACTTCAACTTTTCAAGACAATTTGAAAAGTTCCTAAGCAAAACTTCAACTACGTACATCTCGGCCTACAAAACTCCAAACAAGGTGATTCCAAGTGTTACACCTCACTAATGATGCACACTAAATAGTAAGATTAGTGTCTTAAGTACAGCGATCCTAGTTCTAGAATTTGGGGTCCAAGTTCACACTTTTTGCACTATGCCAAGAGTGCAATTTTGACATTTCTGACATAAATAATCATAAAACATTCCACATAAATCTGAAGGGTGTAATTCTAGTTTTTAGATAGAGTAGACACATAGAGCTTCGAAACAAGTTATCATATGCCAAAATCTGTGATCACTAAGTACCTCAAAAGCAGTTCTAAGAAATCAAAATTCTATCATTTCCTGGTTTCGATAACTTTTGAGAAGTTTTTGGCATGAAACTTCCAATGCACACAACTCGGGTTACACAACTCTATATGACGTGATTCTAACTCCCACATGTCACTAATAACATGTTCTAAATGGTGGTAATTGTGGTCTAGGTGCAGCAACCCTATTTCAAAAAGTAAGGGTCTCAGTTCTTTTTTTTATCAGTTCTTAGAAAAGACAGCTTTGGTGGCTGTTACGGGAATGATCATAAAATATTCTACACAGCCCCAAAAATTACAAAATCAGCTCCTCATCGAAGTAGACATCTAGAGCTTTCCAAAGCGCTATCATAAGCTTAATTTTGGATATGTTAAGGTCTCAAAAAACACGTTATACCAGATCAAAATGTGGCTATTTTTCTGCAGAATTCTTAGAAATCAAGCGTAACTTCAAAAATGCATAATTTGAGCTACTGTTATCCATTTGGGGTGATTCTTACGGCCATACGAAGATTAGGATGTCTAGTTTCCATTTATGTAACCCATTCATTCAAATTCATCTCCAAGGATTCCCATAATTCAATAGTATCAAACCTGTCCAGGTTAGGTTCCTTAACACTTTTTCTAACAAATTGAAAAATTCATAACTTAAGCTACAAAACTCCTTTTTGGGTGATTTAAATCTCCTATCAAAGCTTGATAAGTCTATTTTAAGGTTATAGCATTACTAACATTAAAACTTCTTGAGAATAATCAAGTCCTAGCTTTGCTTTGGGCTGCTCCTAGAATCCTCCCCAAAATCATGTGGATCAAGTGGGGAAAGTATGATTAAAGTCCAAAATAATAACATTCAAGAGAGAAATTCTAAAGAAACTCATACTTAATCCTAAACAACCACAAAGGGCATTACAGGTTGTGGTTGTACCGTTTTGTCCCAGCTTTCTTATGGTTTGCTTTGTTTTTGGCTTGGGGTTTTCGGCCATTTCATGGACGTGGAGCCCTATCTTCTACTCCTTTCTCGATCAATTTGTCTTCTCCACCTCTTTCACTTTTTTTTTCCACTCTGATCCGTTTCTTTTGCTTGGTTTTGGCTGAGATCCTGCATCTGCTCCTTTATGGTTTCGATCTCCTCGCCCCTTTCGTGTGATTTGGGCAGAAACTTGGGGCTTTTATCCCCTTTTTCTTCTAGACTTTTCGACAGCTTCGATTTACGATTTCCATTCAGTTATTTATGTGCTTTTGGTGTAGGGCCGTCCAATTTTTCTTGATTGCTTTTCCGCTGGTTTGATTCACTTTTTTGGTTTGGGTTTTTATGTACTTTTACCAGAGTGCATGTTTTATCCTTAATTTTTCCCGGTTCCTTTTAATCTCTTTTTTCCCTTTTTTTCTTGGGTGCTTTGTTTTGTCACTGCTTTGTATAAATTGTTTGGAACTCATCAAGATCTATTTCTACTTTCTGTTGAGTAGTGGATTTCATTTTATTAAAATTTTTTCAGATGCTTTATCTTTTGGTTTGATGGATTCTTTGTGCAGGGAGTTTATGTGCATCAGTGGAGCTTTTCTTAGCTGATTGTGTGCTGCATATGGGTAAATCTTTATTTTTGTTACGTATCATTTATTGAATTAATGAGCTGTGCTCTCTATGGTGCTGATTTATCTTGCCAGCTTGATGTTTTCTACCCATTTTGTTGTAGAGATATTAAATGAATTGCTGATTGTTTCTCTTTACATTATTTGAAACACGTAGCAATTTTAGGGGAAATTTTTTTTTCAATTTTTTCCTTTTTTTGCTTTTTTTTCCCTTTGCTTTTTCCTTTCTCTGCAGAGATTACTTTTTAAGTTCTGTCCCTTTTTTTTCCTCCACTTCTCTTATAGTAAATATTATATATGTTTAATGATTTGATTACAAAATTTTGGTCCCTTAGTTCTTTTAAATCGATTATGTGTTATTACGTGTTATGTTATTAGAGGTTATTTACTGTTCACATCTACCTTTTTATTCCTTATTTACGAATGTTGCTGCTCTACATGAATTTATCATGTGTGTTTCTGTTCCTTTCTCTCGCAGTTGACGTTTTTCTCCCCCATTTCGCCTATGATCATTTACTGCTTCATTCCATTCTCGATCATTTATTTCTCTGTTCCTTTATCCCTATATCTTTGACAACCCATGTTCGCCTTTGTTTGACCTATGATCATTGATGAGGGGTATTTCTACCAACAAATCAAGTACTTTTAAGCTTGAATATTTGTAAGTCTTCAAGCATTTTTGTTAGTTTAAGTCTTTTGTATGCTTTTTATAGGAATTATAAATAAATACGAACTTGGATGATTTTGCATGAAGAAAGGCCGCGCGCGCGCCCCACATCCAGCCACGCGGCTGTGCGCGCACCCCACACCCAGGCACACGCCTGCGCACCTAGAGTAGAAACGCGCGCTGCAGCACGCCGAGATGATTGCCCCACGTGCTGCAGTGCACCCAAACGCGCTGCAGCGCGCCTCAGGCCCCAGCTGTGAGATCCTTCCTCCAAAAACGCGCGTTGCAGCACGTTTTCACGCAGGCTACATGTTGGAAATGTGTCCATAAAGTATGATGTAATTTGTTATTTGTGAAATGACAAATGTCAGACATTATTGTTTCGCTGATTTTATAAAATAAAATAAAGTTATGTTTTGATACATATTCAAGAGTGTTAGTGATATTGTTTAGTCCATAGACTATTATCAATGAAAGAAGAGTCAGGGAAACCCTGCCGGACAAACTCTTCTGATATAGTTTAAAATAGATATTCGCAGTCTTAGGATCGATTGGGCAATCGAATCCGATTATGACTGTTAGATCGAACCATATGATGCTGGTCTCGGGGCATGGGAGTTGGACTCTGTGGTTGATCTAGACATGTTCACAACATGTTGAATAGACCATGTGACTGATTAGGTTAGAGTAAAAACCGTTTACAGAACTCTAATCCTAATTGTCACAACTTAAGTATATTTGTATAATTATCTCAATCCTAAAGTGAATACATAACTTGACTTAATTTCTCATGATTTTTGATTCACTAGTGAGATTAGTTCACAGTTTTTGAACAACATCTCGGCTATTGGGATCATGACAAAATTGAGTTGGAGTTATGTGATTCACAGATATGGAATTCGTAAGAAATAATATCACCTCATGCTTTATTGATGGGTGTGTGAATAAATAAACCAGGCCTGGTATTCAATGATGATATTCATTGATTAAGACATCGTGACATGTGCGAGACATCTTACGAACATATGTCTTTCTTATTCACAGTCAAATAAAGGAGTTGAGGAAATAATGATTGGAATGGTAAAACGGTAATATAATATACCATTCTGATCACTGATATTTACGAAAGATAATAATGCATTTATTCTGTGGACCGTGTGATAAATTGTATTAACACCATCA